AGTATATCAATAACTTTAGATTTGGATATTATAGGGATTCCCCTTGCTTGATTATGTAAATTTGAAAAGAGACAAATTGTTATTTTTAGATGGTTTAACACTGTAAGACTCAAGTAGGTTTACTACATAGCTATACCTAGTCCTTGTAACAAGATCAACCACTCAGTGCATCAATTAAATGTGTAATGGGACAATATGTAATTTTGTGTCTCTGTAAACCAGTACACCTTAGACTTAGTGACCTTACATCATCTATCAGTCTTCATGCCCAAAAAAAATTTTTATCCATTTTTGTTAATTCTTTTGGTGCAGAATACCATATAGCAGGTTTATTTTGAGGTTAATAAATTTTGTGAATTACCCATATCTGGAAGTTCGCGAAATTTATTTTCGCCAATTTGCACTATTCTGCCATCTTGTACAATATTAAATTGATTTTCAAAGAATTTAATTTCGCAAAACTTGAAAAATTCACAAAATTTGTTATCCTCGAAGATAGCCCGCTATACATGCTCTTATGTTATACGTTATATACAAAACTTCAGTTAAATTGAATTTTAAAAAATTTGCTGGCCAAAAACCCTGTATTAGTACATAGTTCTTGTCAAAATTAACTAGAAGAGAATTCTTAATTTTTATAATTTTTTTCTAATTATATACTATGTCCCAACTGAGTTTGGACCAAGAAAAACTGGAATACCTTTTTATAGGAACATGGGATAAGGATGAGACTTTCACAGGTTCTTAGTCGCCCAATGCCGCTTCAGGATCTCAGGTCTTGGGTCTCTCAACCCTTGGGAACCCTGAGAACCGGGTTCTCCCTATAAACCCAATGGCATACCAAAGCTAACCGCAATGACGTTCTATGATGTTATAGTTTATATAAGCACATGTGGTCGAGCGCCCAAGCTGATAATTCTTCTTTTAAAAAGCTAATAGAGTGAGATCTTCTGATAATGATAGCCTTTATGAAGACTAGCTGACTCCAGGAGCTATTGTACTGCTTATCAGGAAGAACAAGACTGTTTTAAGAGTGAAACAAGATAGCCAAAATATCGGCCATGTCTCTATGAATATCATTATAAGACATCATTAGTGACGTAGCTACATTTTTCAAATTCCAATGCAGCTGCTTCCACTTCCGGTCCATTCTCAGTTGGGACATAGTATACATGTCTTTATACTGTGTCAAAATTTTGAGTAATTCTGATTACGTTTTAATTATTTAAAAAATTTTAAAGTTGCTCCAAACTCCTGTACTACAGTACAGGGTTTTTGGCCAAATTTTATCAAAAAAAACAAGGAAAGGATTCTTCATTTTATAATTTTTGATACACATACATGTCAGTCCTTATACTATGTATAAATTTTGAGCTAATTCTGATCAAGCTTAAAGTTGTTCCAAAATTGAGCCAAGGACCCTGTACTGTAGTATAAAAAATGGTTTGGAAATTTTATTAAATTGACGACAATAGAGTTCTCCATTTTTTCCGATACACATACTTGTTTTTATGTAGTGTACAATTTTTGAGGTAATTCTGATTAAATTTGAAATTTTTACAAATTTTTAAAGTTGCTCCAAACTCAGTATAGGGTCATTGACCAAATTTCACCACAAATTAGAAGGAGGAAAATTCTTGAATTTTATAAATTTTTCTCATACATAAAATATGTCTTTATATTGTGTAGTAATTTTGAGCTGATTCAAATAAATTTTTTAATTTTCTAAAATTGCTTCAAAATCAGGCTTGCCCTTGGGCCATATTGGGCTAATTCTGATTAATTTAAGTTTTTAAAAATTCCTCCAAAGACTATTGTTCTTGTTTTTTATTCCATGATTCCTTTTCAACATTATGCAAATATCAAATTTCAAATATTATTTTTGACCAGCAATATGATTTATGTTTTTAATCATTGCTTTTCTATATTCCTTGATGTAAGACATTAAATTGTAAATTGAAATCATCA